GTGCCCTGTTAGCAGGAGGAGAGGGTGTGGGAATTGGCAGGGTGCTGCTGAATTCCAGTTTCAAGAGGTGGATCCCTTTCCTGGGATGGGCAGAGTGGATTTCATCCCTCCTGGCTGAAGCTCCCTGTAAGTTCTCTGGGATAAACCAGGTAACCACCAGGATGAGCCAGTCCATTTTGGGGGTGGGATGGCTCACCTCTGCATCTGCCTGTTTCTTTGCTTTTCAGAAAACCAAAAATGAAAAGACCCTGCGAATTTTACATCCCAATCCACTGAACCTGGGAGCAGCCCTTTTCATTTTGTACCGTACAGGGCTCACTGCATGCTGCCTTCTTGACATCAGGGAAGATGCTCCTGGATCCACCAGGAAAAAAGTCCTGGCTTCACTCCAGTACTTCAGCAAAATCCTGTTCCTTTTCTCTAGGCATTGATGGGAGCTTGCTGCTATCTTAAATGCAAGATCAGCCCCAGTCCTGTCCTTCCTCTGTTCATTAAAATACATTGATTTAAACCTGTTGCTCTCTTTCTACAGCTCAGCTCTGCTATGATCCCACATCCAACACCTGCAAGCCAAACATAGCCTAGATCATCTCTGGATAGGACTGGGGCAACTTTTGTACAGCTGTCATTTTAAAGGATAATTACAAGCATGACTTACAGGATAATAAGCAGAGATAAAACTAATTCCAGTAACCCATCTCACTGTGGTGGAACCAGGGGAAAAACTCCTTTTCTGCGGTTTATGGGAGGAAGGGAACAGTTGAGACTGAGCGCTGGTGCTGTCGTTGTCACTGAGGAGGTAACCAGAACGAGTCTGTCCAAAACCAGCAAAGTTTGGTAAAGCTTTTGAGCTAGATTAAACTCAGGGAGAGGTTTATCTGCTTGTGCAGCCTCCTGAATCACCAGCTGGGGATGCGCAGGGAGCGGCAATTTTGGGTTGAGTAGACAGAGGAACGTCAAAGAGAGGTCTAACTGCCCCAAATGACAAAGAACCTTTTGCTCCCCCAGTGCCTGATGTCACCATCTCAGCCAGGGCATTCAGCATCTTCCAGGAACCCAGGGCTGCATCACAAAGGAACAACGGGATAGAGGCACCAAACCCCTGCCTGGTTTTATGCCTCATAAACAAACTGCCTCGTAAATATGCCTTGTAAATAAAATAAATAAATACAGTAGTAGTGATTTCCTTTGGTTTCATCAGCTGAGAAGCTTACACCAATGTGAGATGCTGCCAAAAGTACTGGTCCTGTCCCTGCCCTTACTCCAGCCTTTCTCCCCATCCTGGTTTTGGCTCAGCACTGTCAGTTTTTGGCTGGGCTCATTCCAGCTTGCAGGTCGGTGGTGACAAGGGGAGGTAGAAAAGCTCTTCTGGAGCCCAAGCATCCCCTTTTGATACCACTCATTTATTTCTTCCTTAGCCCTCCTTATGAAATTTCCCACTGAGGACATTTATTTTCCCTCTCTCCTTTTTTTTTCAGCCACTTCATTTATTGCCAATGAACTGATTTGTTCAGGCTGAGAAGGGTCAGCAGATAATGGAAATACATGTTTATGGGGAAAAGACAGTGCAAATGCCAAGGAAATATGGCTGGGAGGCAGCTGGAAAGCCAAGGTGTAAACATTTTAATTTACTGACTAGGGAAGAATAGAAAAATCTTTGTTTTTGTTATTGTCCAAATAATATAAATGGTAACGAGCTGCTTTATGGCCATTTCTTTGTTAGTAATATATAATAGTAATATATTTATATATATATATATTTATATATATTTATATATATTTAGAGATGTATGTATAATATATATATGATATCAATACATAATACAAATACATTATATATAATATTGTAACATGTATATATGTAATGATACATATATATAATGATATGCATATATGTAGTAATATATATTATTTCTATATCTTATGTATATTATACACATATATTTTTCTATATTATATAAACATATCTTTACAACTTCACCTACAATATAAATCCAGGAATTTATATTATATACATATAATTCCAGGTGCATCCAGCAACGTAGACATGATACACACAGGGACATAGACATGATACACACAGGGATCCCCAAGGACTGTGTGTGTGTATGTAATATAAACATCTATTACTTAAATGTTTCTATATATTTAATCTATATACATTTATATTATGGATGTGCTAGAAATGATACAATATTATACTATATATATATAGTGTATCTATATATTATATACAGTATTATACAATACAATATACAGGTCTAGAAAACCTGTATAATACGTATAGTTATATATTGTAATTTTTCTTTTTATTTGACTTTTTT